TGGTCCAGGTTTGGTCTTGGTCATTGCTGGTCTTTGATTGGGACTGGTTCTTGACCCTTTATTGCTCTTGGTCCTGTCTTGTTTTTGGTCTGGTCTTGGGTCAGGTCTTGCTCTGAGTTGATCGTGGTCTTCTTCTGGTCTTGGTCCGGGTCCAGTCTAGGTTTTCCCATACAGCCCATATTTAAACCAAATCCTGAATTTTGAATTGAATTTTTTTGAATTTTCTTATTTAAAAAATTCAGATTTTTAATGTGTGGATATGGACTTTGGGGTGGGTGTGGACCTATTCGGACCTTGTTTGGACCGGTACCAGACCGGACAGCTTCATGTGGACTTCCTTCAGACACACGTACCTCATGTTACAAGTTCATTTTTCTTTACTGTCTCAGAAAAAAAACGAGAGAAGTAAGTAAGTATAGTAAGTAAGTAAGTTTTTATTTATTATACGCCTTTTCACTGCAGATCTGAGTCTCAAAGCGGTTTACAATTGTTTAATTTTTGGGCATTTGTCTCTCACTCCACACAGACGATGGGAGCGGGGCCAGTACAGGAGGCACATGCCAGAACTATTGGACATATTTTTAGTGGTAGGGGACCGGAGTACCCGGAGGAAGACCTACGCAGACACGGGGAGAACATGCAAAAACTCCACTCAGAAAGGCCCTGGTCCGACCGGGATTCGAACCCAGGGACCTTTCTTGCTGAGAGGCCGAGAGTGCTATCCACTCAGCCACCGTGCGCCCGAAAAGTGGGACACAGATATTGTGACCCTAAACACAGACCAGACGTGTGCGAAAGAAAAGGAGATTTATGACAAAAACAGGACTCATGTTACCAGGTTCTGAACCAGGTCTGAACCAGGTCTGAACCAGGTCTGAACCAGGTCTGAACCAGGTCTGAACCAGGTCTGAACCAGGTCTGAACCAGGGTCTGAACCAGGTCTGAGCCAGGGCTGACTGAAACCAGGTCTGAACCAGGACTGAACCAGGACTGAACCAGGAACCAGGTCTGAACCAGGGACTGAACCAGGTCTGAACCAGGACTGAACCAGGTCTGAACCAGGACTGAACCAGGACTGAACCAGGACTTTATCAGGACTGAACCAGGACTGAGCCATGTCTGAACCAGGACTGAACCAGGACTGAACCAGGCAGGTCCAGTACTGACAAATCAATCAAAGAGAATCTCAAAAACCTTTGGCTTGGGACGTTCTTATTTTTGGGTCTAGTCTTTTGTCTTGTTCTTAGTCCAGGTATGGTCTTGGGTCTGGTCCAGGTTAATCTGTTCCTAGTCTGGTCCTAGTCTGGTCCTGTTCCAGTCTTGCGTCCAGGTCTGGTATGGTTTTGGTAAGTAAGTAAAGTAAGTAAGTTGTTATTTATATTTTCGATCTTTTCACTGCAGATCTGAGTCTCAAAGCGGTTTACAATTGTTAATTTTGGGCATTTGTCTCTCACTCCACACAGAGATGGGAGCAGGGCCAGTACAGGAGGCACATGCCAGAACTATTGGACATATTTTTAGTGGTAGGGGAAACCGGAGTACCCGGAGGAAACCTACGCAGACACGGGGAGAACATGCAAACTCCACTCAGAAAGGCCCTGGTCCGACCGGGATTCGAACCCAGGACCTTCTTGCTGAGAGGCGAGAGTGCTATCCACTCAGCCACCGTGCCGCCCGGTGGCTTGTTTTGGTCATTCTCTGATCGTTGTTGGTGTCTCCCCCAGACCAAACAGAAAGTCTGAAAATAGTAAAACTTACGTCCCCCAGCTTTAACGCAGGCCCCAGCTCCAGGAGCGACAGCCTGTGCCTCACACTCCCACAATCCTGTGTTTTCCTTTAATATCGCTCTGAGCTCCACACAAGGCAAAACAAACAGGACTTCGCTTCAAAAACACAGGAGCTAACATGCTACGGCGCTAACATGCTAACGGCGCTAACATGCTAAAGTGAATGTAATTACAATAACATGAGAGCGAGAGGCCAAAGCACAGTCAGACTGTTCACAGCGGTAAAGCCAATTCTGGGGTTCATTGTCAGCTCAAACTACGTCACCTTTTAGCAAAATAAAAGTGAATAAGAAGCATATAACAGGATTATAACTGATGTTACAGCTCTGTGTCCATGGCAACCAACTTTTCAGCCACATCCTGTGTTAAACATACATGTGCGTTTTCAATAGTATTGTGATATTTGGCCACAATTCAATATTATCGCGATTCTTAACACTAGGATTCCCAGGATTCTGAAACGACTAGATCTCCCAGAGCCGTCATTTTGACTGCTCCCTTTCAAACCAATAGAAATCTGAGAAATCCCCCAAAGAATGTTAAGTTTTTCACCAGATTCATTAAAAGAAAGTTCATTACCGTTTTTTTTTTCCTTTAATCACCTTTAATAAGTGCTAAAACAGGTCTTTATAACTGCAACTGAAATCACTCAACATCCTCTGGCTGGAAATAAGTTAAATTTAGAACAATTCAAAAGTAAAAGAAAATTTCATATAAATAATGACACAGACACATTTGGACTGGGCTACAACCTCATATTGTGTATTTTGGCATATCCGACCTCACGCAAGTAGGTAGAGTAGAGTAGAGTAGAGTAGAGTAGAGTAGAGTAGAGTAGAGTAGAGTAGAGTAGAGTAGGGTAGACTAGGGTCGGGTAGAGTAGAGTAAAGTAGGGTAGGGTAGAGTAGAGTAGAGTAGAGTAGAGTAGAGTAGAGTAGTAGAGTAGGGTAGACTAGGGTCGGGTAGAGTAGAGTTAGAGTAGGGTAGGGTAGAGTAGAGTAGAGTAGAGTAGAGTAGAGTAGAGTAGAGTAGAGTAGAGTAGAGTAGAGTAAAGTAGAGTAGAGTAGAGTAGAGTAGAGTAGAGTAGAGTAGAGTAGAGTAGAGTTGAGTAGGGTAGAGTAGGGTAGACTAGGGTCGGGTAGAGTAGAGTAGAGTAGAGTAGAGTAGAGTAGAGTAGGGTAGAGTAGAGTAGAGTAAAGTAGAGTAGAGTAGAGTAGAGTAGAGTAGAGTAAAGTAGAGTAGAGTAGAGTAGAGTAGGGTAGAGTAGGGTAGACTAGGGTCGGGTAGAGTAGAGTAGAGTAGGGTAGGGTAGAGTAAAGTAGAGTAGAGTAGAGTAGAGTAGGGTAGAGTAGGGTAGGGTAGAGTAGGGTAGGGTAGAGAAGAGTAGGGTAGAGTAGAGTAGAGTAGGGTAGGGTAGAGTAGAGTAGAGTAGGGTAGAATAATAGAGTAGAGTAGAGTAGAGTAGGGTAGAATAGAGTAAGTAGGGTAGTAGAGTAGAGTAGAGTAGAGTAGAGTAGGGTAGGGTAGGGTAGGGTAGAGTAGAGTCAAGTAGGGTAGAGTAGAGTAGAGTAGGGTAGAATAATAGGAGTAGAGTAGGGTAGAGTAGAGTAGAGTAGGGGTAGAATAATAGAGTAGAGTAGAGTAGAGTAGGGTAGGGTAGAGTAGAGTAGAGTAGAGTAGGGTAGGGTAGGGTAGAGTAGGGTAGAGTAGAGTAGGGTAGAGTAGAGTAGGGTAGGGTAGAGTAGAGTAGAGTAGAGTAGGGTAGAGTAGAGTAGAGTAGGGTAGGGTAGGGTAGAGTAGAGTAGAGTAGAGTAGGGTAGGGTAGGGTAGAGTAGAGTAGAGTAGAGTAGAGTAGAGTAGAGTAGAGTAGAGTAGAGTAGAGTAGGGTAGGGTAGGGTAGGGTAGAGTAGAGTAGAGTAGAGTAGAGTAGAGTAGAGTAGGGTAGGGTAGGGTAGGGTAGGGTAGAGTAGAGTAGAGTAGAGTAGAGCCTCAGAACTCTTCTGGTGACAGTGGATAATAATAAACGGTAAAGTGGAGGAATGTGAAATAACTGCTCATTTGGAGAAAAGCTGTGAAAGCTGTAGTTTAGACAAAACATGTTTAAACACAAGACTGAACCAGGACCAAACCAGGCCGAAGCAAGTATAAACCAGGTATAAACTAGGTCTAACCCAGGACGAAACCAGGACTAAACCAGGACTAAAGCAGGTCTAAACCAGGACTATACCAGGACTAAAGCAGGACTAAAGCAGGACTAAACCAGGCCGAAGCAGGTCAAAACCAGGACGAAACCAGGACTAAACCAATACTAAACCAGGACTAAACTAGGATTAAACCAGGATTAAACCAGGAGTAAACTAGGACTAAACCAGGACTGAAGCAGGTCTAAACCAGGAGTAAACCAGGAGTAAACCAGGACTAAACCAGGTCAAAAGCAGGTCTAAATGAAGACTAAATAAACTCATTCCTGGTCCGGCTTTAGTTCTCAATTCAATTCAGTTCAATTTATTTGTGTATCGCACTAAATCACAACATTATCATCTCAGAGGACTTTAAAAAGCTGCTGATTCTCCAACACAGATCAGAGAATCACACACCAACATAAGACATGATAAAAACACAGACACTGGTCCATGAGGAGCAGAGACCAAGGTCCTGCTCCTGCTGTAGTCCTGCTGTAGTCCTGCTGTAGTCCTGCTGAAGTCCTGCTGTAGTCCTGCTGAAGTCCTGCTGAAGTCCTGCTGAAGTCCTGGTCCTGCTGTAGACCTGGTCCTGCTGTAGTCCTGGTCCTGCTGTAGTCCTAGTCCTGCTGTAGTCCTGGTCCTGCTATAGTCCTATAGTCCTGCTGTAGTCCTGGTCCTGCTGTAGTCCTGGTGCTGGTGTAGCCCTGGTCCTGCTGTGGTCCTGCTGTAGTCCTGCTGTAGTCCTGGTGTAGTCCTGGTCCTGCTGTAGTCCTGGTCCCACTGTAGTCCCAGTGTTTTGGTGACTCATGTTTGTCTCCGTTACAGATGTTGCAACCAAACCCACAGCCGGAAACTCACCAAACCAGCACCTGGAACAGGACCAGAACCAGGACCAGGACTCTGTGATCCTCTGATTCAAAGACAAACACTTCCTGCAGTGGACGGAGCAGCTGTTTTCTGTTAGACATCTGCCAAACAGTCTGTACCAGTCACATCCAAACATTTCACCAGGACCTCCGCTCACGCACACATGGTCTGGGTCTGCTCCAGAGCCAGTACCAGGAGACTGGAGAGTACTAGGAGACTGGAGAGTACCAGGAGACTGGAGAGTACCAGGAGACTGGAGAGTACTAGGAGACTGGAGAGTACCAGGAGACTGGAGAGTACTAGGAGACTGGAGAGTACTAGGAGACTGGAGAGTACCAGGAGACTGGAGAGTACCAGGAGACTGGAAAGTACCAGGAGACTGGAGAGTACTAGGAGACTGGAGAGTACCAGGAGACTGGAGAGTACTAGGAGACTGGAGAGTACTAGGAGACTGGAGAGTACCAGGAGACTGGAGAGTACTAGGAGACTGGAGAGTACCAGGAGACTGGAGAGTACCAGGAGAGGACTGAGTGACTGTGACAGCATCACTTAATGCAAGCAGGAGCCAGTTTCCTTATATGGGCATTTGTTCTGACGCTGTTAGCTTTGCTTTGTAACAGGGGCAGACGTGTTGCTAAGGCGGTTGCTAAGGCAAACTGGAGTTCCCCCTGTGAATGAAGGCCCCTGATTGGCCAGTGCTTATAAGGCTCATATCTGGATTTACAAAGACATTTTCACATTTAAACACCAGGACCTGGATCAGGGTCAGAACCAGGTCTGAACCAGGTCTGAACCAGGTCTGAACCAGGTCCAAACAGTCTGAAACAGTACTTTCTGTGTCATATTTAAATAAATCGTCACATTCTTTCATCGTCTCATTTGGACCAATTACAATCACCACAAACGCTGGAATCCTACTGCCTTTTTTGATTCGCTCATTAAAAGTCCCAACAGGGGTCTGTATCTCCCCCTCCCTCCCCTTCCATCCCCCTCCCTCTCCTCCTACTCCTGGTGCTTCCCCCTCCTCCCTCCCCTGGTGCCTCCCCCTCCTCCCTCCCCCTCCTCCCCCCCCGGTGCCCCCTCCTCCCTCCTCTGGTGAACCCTGAGGCCACACTCCCCCCACAAACACCATGACAAAAGGAGATCCTGCAGCAGATTACACCCAGGCCCAAGGGCACAACGTCAGCCCAGGAATGTCTCCACAGGCCTCAGAGTGTGAGGATGGATGAGGAGGAGGATCAGAGACCTGTGGCTGTGTTTAGCTCCATCCATGCTCACACCGGGAACAGTGTTGTGTCATTATTTCAACACTTCTTTGTTTTGTGGCTGGACGCTTTCCAGTCTCTCCATCTCTCTGGTCCCTCTATAGTCCTTCTCTGGTCTCTCTCTGGTCCCTCTATAGTCCTTCTCTGGTCTCTCTCTGGTCCCTCTATAGTCCTTCTCTGGTCTCTCTCTGGTCTCTCTCTGGACTGGTCTGTAGGGATGTACCGATCCGATATTCAGTATCGGTATCGGGGGCCGATATGGGTATTTTGTAAGGATCGGATAATATCGGATTTGTAAAATATGAAGCCGATTTACGTCACTTTTCAGCAGCTCACGTAAACTAAACAATGTAAAACTAGGGCTGGGCGATAAAACGACAACGAGAGATATTGTGATAGACACGTGTTCGATACCAACAGAAAACAGGGTCGATAGAATGTTAGTTTAACGTCACTCCGTTAGAAAAAACAGGACGAAAACACAGAAAGTAAAGCCGAGTCAGAGGCGCGCGGCATTCTGGGGGATGTAGGCAGAGGCTTCTCGACCTATCACAGCCAAGCGTGAACCGCAAAACTTTGTGGGAAATACATAAACAACAACCACACCATGTGTCCATGGATCTAAAGATTGTTTTTCAGTGCCGTGTCAGTGGTTCTGGACGTCTGTGCGAGGCTTAGCATGTGCGCTGTGGCAGAGGCAGTGGACACAGAGACCTGGGGCATGCGGCGACAGCAAGAGATTAACTTTTTCCTCCGTGCGGCTATCAGAGAGCTATCAGAGAGCTATCAGAGAGCTATCAGAGAGCGGCCGCACAGAGCCGTCGTGGGGACACATAACAGGAGATAAACCAGGACTAAACCAGGATTTCACCAGGACTAACTATGGGGGAGACTGTGTGAACATATTCCTCGAGCCTCATTCCCTGTGACTGTAAACAAGGCTAACGTGTGTTAGCGACACCACAAACGTATTTATTCAGGTAAAAATTGCAAATTCTTTAATGCTTTGAAAATATTAGAAAAAATTGTATCGGTATCGGATTCGTATCGGATCGGTATTGGCAAAACAATATTTAAGAATATCGGAATCGGATCTGATTACAAACATTCTGGATCGGTACATCCCTACTGGTCTGTCTCTGGTCCCTTTCTAGTCTGGTCTCTCTCTAGTCTCTCTATCTCGCTCTGGTGTATCTCTGGCTTCTGTCCTGTCTCTCTCTAGTCTCCCTCTTCCGTCTTTCTGGTCTCCCTCTGGTCTCTCTCTGGTCTCCCTCTGGTCTCTCTCTGGTCTCCCTCTGGTCTCTCTCTGGTCTCCCTCTGGTCTCTCTGGTCTCTCTCTGGTCTCTCTCTGGTCTCTCTCTGGTCTCTCTCTGATCTCTCTCTGGTCTCTCTCTGGTCTCTCTCTGGTCTCTCTCTGGTCTCTCTCTGGTCTCTCTCTGGTCTGGTCTGGCCTCTCCTCTTCACCCTCTAATCTCTCCTCCTCTTTGTCATTTAGCCGTAAAGCCGGACACTTCAAGACTGGGAACCACACATCACCGTGACACAGACTCTTATTACAGAGAGAGCCTTTCAACCACCACACACCAGAGAGAGACCAGAGAGAGACCAGAGAGAGAGACCAGAGAGAGACCAGAGAGAGACCAGAGAGAGACCAGAGAGAGACCAGAGAGACAGACCAGAGAGAGAGAGAGGCCAGAGAGAGACCAGAGAGAGACCAGAGAGAGACCAGAGAGAGACCAGTGGGCGACCAGAGAGAGACCAGAGAGAGACCAGAGAGAGACCAGAGAGAGACCAGTGGGCGACCAGAGAGAGACCAGAGAGAGACCAGAGAGAGAGAGACCAGAGAGAGACCAGAGAGAGAGAGAGACCAGAGAGAGACCAGAGAGAAAGAGACCAGAGAGAGACCAGAGAGAGACCAGAGGGAGACCAGGGAGAGAGCAGAGGGAGACCAGAGAGAGACCAGGGAGAGAGCAGAGGGAGACCAGAGAGAGACCAGAGAGAGACCAGAGAGAGACCAGAGAGAGAGACCAGAGAGAGACCAGAGAGAGACCAGAGAGAGAGACCAGAGAGAGACCAGAGAGACCAAGAGAGACCAGAGAGAGACCAGAGAGAGACCAGAGAGAGACCAGAGAGAGACCAGAGAGAGAGACCAGAGAGAGGAGACCAGAGAGAGACAGAGAGAGACCAGAGAGAGACCAGAGAGAGACCAGAGAGAGAGACCAGAGAGAGACCAGAGAGAGACCAGAGAGAAAGAGACCAGAGAGAGACCAGAGAGAGAGGCCAGAGAGAGACCAGAGAGAGACCAGAGAGAGACCAGAGAGAGACCAGTGGGCGACCAGAGAGAGACCAGAGAGAGACCAGAGAGAGACCAGAGAGAGACCAGTGGGCGACCAGAGAGAGACCAGAGAGAGACCAGAGAGAGAGAGACCAGAGAGAGACCAGAGAGAGACCAGAGAGAGACCAGAGAGAGACCAGAGAGAGACCAGAGAGAAAGAGACCAGAGAGAGACCAGAGAGAGACCAGAGGGAGACCAGGGAGAGAGCAGAGGGAGACCAGAGAGAGACCAGGGAGAGACCAGAGAGAGCAGAGGGAGACCAGAGAGAGACCAGAGAGAGACCAGAGAGAGACCAGAGAGAGACCAGAGAGAGACCAGAGAGAGACCAGAGAGAGACCAGAGAGAGAGACCAGAGAGAGACCAGAGAGACACCAGAGAGAGACCAGAGAGAGACCAGAGAGAGACCAGAGAGAGACCAGAGAGAGAGACCAGAGAGAGAGAGACCAGAGAGAGATCAGAGAGAGACCAGAGAGAGACCAGAGAGAGACCAGAGAGAGACCAGAGAGACCAGAGAGAGAGGCCAGAGAGAGACCAGAGAGAGACCAGAGAGAGACCAGAGAGAGACCAGAGAGAGACCAGTGGGCGACCAGAGAGAGACCAGAGAGAGACCAGAGAGAGAGAGACCAGAGAGAGACCAGAGAGAGACCAGAGAGAGAGAGACCAGAGAGAGACCAGAGAGAAAGAGACCAGAGAGAGACCAGAGAGAGACCAGAGGGAGACCAGGGAGAGACCAGGGAGAGAGCAGAGGGAGACCAGAGAGAGACCAGGGAGAGAGCAGAGGGAAACCAGAGAGAGACCAGAGAGAGACCAGAGAGAGACCAGAGAGAGACCAGAGAGAGACCAGAGAGAGACCAGAGAGAGACCAGAGAGAGACCAGAGAGAGACCAGAGAGAGACCAGAGAGAGACCAGAGAGAGACCAGAGGGCGACCAGAGAGAGACCAGAGAGAGACCAGAGAGAGACCAGTGGGAGACCAGAGAGAGACCAGAGAGAGAGAGTCCAGAGAGAGACCAGAGAGAGACCAGAGAGAGACCAGAGAGAGACCAGAGAGAGAGAGACCAGAGAGAGACCAGAGAGAGACCAGAAGGAGACCAGAAAGAGACCAGAGAGAGACCAGAGAGAGACCAGAGAGAGACCAGAGAGAGACCAGAGAGAGAGACCAGAGAGAGAGACCAGAGAGAGACCAGAGAGAGACCAGAGAGAGACCAGAGAGAGACCAGAAAGAGACCAGAGAGAGACCAGAGAGAGACCAGAGAGAGACCAGAGAGAGACCAGAGAGAGACCAGAGAGAGACCAGAGAGAGACCAGAGAGAGAGACCAGAGAGAGACCAGAGAGAGACCAGAGAGAGACCAGAGAGAGACCAGAGAGAGACCAGAGAGACCAGAGAGAGACCAGAGAGAGACCAGAGAGAGACCAGAGAGAGAGACGTGTCAGAGCGAGGGAAAGTTACTGGAGTCAAAACATGAATGTGTTGGCGGATGTTTCTTCACTATCAGGACCATTTCCCAAAACAAAACAGAGTCTATGGTCAGAACACTGAGGACCATGTGGATTCAGTGCCATAGAACTAGAAAGAGCAGGGCACTGTGGCAGAGTGGTTAGCCCTTCTCACCACAAATGTCCCAGAATCAAATCCAGGTCGGAACAGGGTCTTTCTGACCCATTGTTTTACCCAACGTAAACCATGGGTCATATTGTCCATCTCTGGTTCTTAGGATGGGCTCCTGTTACTACGGCGACCACAGGTTCTGACAAAACTCAATTCAATTTAAAGTATTTGTGTATTTCCCTAAATCACAGCAGCAGACGTCCAAGTTGTGGATTCACCAACAGAAGATCAGAGAATCAAACAGTTCAAACACAGGAAATGCAATAATAACAAACTCAGAAGACGTTGGTCCATAAGGTCTGTCCTGGACCTGCATCAGTGTGACATCACCACCGTGTGACATCACCACAGTGTGACATCACCACCGTGTGACATCACCACAGTGTGACATCACCACAGTGTGACATCACCACAGTGTGACATCACCACAGTGTGACATCACCACAGTGTGACATCACCACCGTGTGACATCACCACCGTGTGAGCCTTTGAACATAAGCAGGTGCCAGTTTCCTTATATGGGCATTTGTTTAGACGGCTTTAGCTTTTGTGTCTTCACAGAGGCAGGTGTGTTCCTCAGACACATGTGTCTACATATTATATGGTTCATGGATTTATAACATCTCATGAAACAGCAGGACCACAGAGAGATAAACCACAGATATCAGCCCAAAATGTGACGCAAACATTACTGAGTTAGAGAAGTTTACAACTACATAGAAGCTCAATGAGCTAGCGTGTTAGCATTGTTAGCGTTGTCCATCTATGTACATTTTAGTGAATGCAAATACAGAGGACACAGCGACAATAGCTTGTCCCCCCGGCTGATGTCACTGTCCCCCCGGCTGATGTGACTGTCCCTCCAGCTGATGTCACTGTCCCCCCGGCTGATGTGACTGTCCCTCCAGCTGATGTCACTGTCCCCCCGACTGATGTGACTGTCCCCCCGGCTGACGTGACTGTCCCCCCGGCTGATGTGACTGTCCCCCGGCTGATGTGGTGTGACCCTCCTGAACCTCGGAGCTGAGACAGAATCAAACGAAGCGTGAACATTTGTGTCCAGACGATTGAACCGCTGCCCGTCCAGAGGCTTTAGGACCACCTCACACCACACACTAACACTGAGAGACCAGGGAGAGACCAGGAAGAGACCAGAGAGACCAGAGAGAGACCAGGGAGAGACCAGAGAGAGACCAGGGAGAGACCAGAGAGAGAGACCAGAGAGAGACCAGGGAGACCAGGGAGAGACCAGAGAGAGACCAGGGAGACCAGGAGAGACCAGAGAGAGAGAGACCAGAGAGAGAGAGACCAGAGAGAGACCAGAGAGAGACCAGAGAGAGACCAGAGAGAGACCAGAGAGAGACCAGAGAGAGACCAGAGAGAGAGACCAGAGAGAGACCAGGGAGACCAGGGAGAGACCAGAGAGAGACCAGGGAGACCAGGGAGAGACCAGGGAGAGACCAGAGAGAGACCAGGGAGAGACCAGGGAGAGACCAAGAGAGACCAGGTGAGACCAGGAGAGACCAGAGAGACCAGAGAGACCAGGAGAGACCAGAGAGAGACCAGGGAGAGACCAGAGAGAGACCAGGGAGAGACCAGAGAGAGAGACCAGAGAGAGACCAGGGAGACCAGGGAGAGACCAGAGAGAGACCAGGGAGACCAGGGAGAGACCAGGGAGAGACCAGAGAGAGACCAGGGAGAGACCAGGGAGAGACCAAAGAGAGACCAGGGAGAGACCAGAGAGACCAGAGAGAGACCAGAGAGAGACCAGAGAGAGACCAGAGAGAGACCAGAGAGAGACCAGAGAGAGACCAGAGAGAGACCAGAGAGACCAGAGAGAGACCAGAGAGAGACCAGCGAGAGACCAAAGAGAGACCAGAGAGAGAGACCAGAGAGAGAGAGAGAGACCAGAGAGAGAGACCAGAGAGAGACCAGAGAGAGACCAGGGAGACCAGGGAGAGACCAGGGAGAGACCAGAGAGAGACCAGGGAGACCAGGGAGAGACCAGGGAGAGACCAGGGAGAGACCAGGGAGAGACCAAAGAGAGACCAGGGAGAGACCAGAGAGAGACCAGAGAGAGAGACCTGAGAGAGACCAGAGAGAGACCAGAGAGAGAGACCAGAGAGAGAGACCAGAGAGAGACCAGTGAAGAGAAGACACAAAAGAGACCAGAGAGAGAGACCAGAGAGAGAGAGACCAGAGAGAGACCAGAGAGAGACCAGTGAAGAGAAGACACAAAAGAGACCAGAGAGAGAGACCAGAGAGAGACCAGAGAGAGACCAGAGAGAGAGACCAGAGAGAGACCAGGGAGACCAGGGAGAGACCAGAGAGAGACCAGGGAGACCAGGAGAGACCAGAGAGAGAGAGACCAGAGAGAGAGAGACCAGAGAGAGACCAGAGAGAGACCAGAGAGAGACCAGAGAGAGACCAGAGAGAGACCAGAGAGAGACCAGAGAGAGACCAGAGAGAGACCAGAGAGAGAGACCAGAGAGAGACCAGGGAGACCAGGGAGAGACCAGAGAGAGACCAGGGAGACCAGGGAGAGACCAGGGAGAGACCAGAGAGAGACCAGGGAGAGACCAGGGAGAGACCAAAGAGAGACCAGGGAGAGACCAGAGAGACCAGAGAGAGACCAGAGAGAGACCAGAGAGAGACCAGAGAGAGACCAGAGAGAGACCAGAGAGAGACCAGAGAGAGACCAGAGAGACCAGAGAGAGACCAGAGAGAGACCAGAGAGGAGACCAAAGAGAGACCAGAGAGAGAGACCAGAGAGAGAGACCAGAGAGAGACCAGAGAGAGACCAGGGAGACCAGGGAGAGACCAGGGAGAGACCAGAGAGAGACCAGGGAGACCAGGGAGAGACCAGGGAGAGACCAGGGAGAGACCAGGGAGAGACCAAAGAGAGACCAGGGAGAGACCAGAGAGAGACCAGAGAGAGAGACCTGAGAGAGACCAGAGAGAGACCAGAGAGAGAGACCAGAGAGAGAGACCAGAGAGAGACCAGTGAAGAGAAAACACAAAAGAGACCAGAGAGAGAGACCAGAGAGAGAGACCAGAGAGAGACCAGAGAGAGACCAGTGAAGAGAAGACACAAAAGAGACCAGAGAGAGAGACCAGAGAGAGACCAGAGAGAGACCAGAGAGAGACCAGTGAAGAGAAGACACTAAAGAGACCAGAGTAGACAACAGACTGGAGAGGCTATAAACACCACATCCACCTCAACCTGCCCCAACACAAACACACTATCAACTAGGGGTGGGAACCTAAGGGTACCTCACGATACGATACGATACACGATACAAAGCTCACGATAACAATAATATCACGATATGACGATTATTGATATATTGGTCAGAAATAAACAATATGCCAACTTATGGCATAAATAAAAGAAAAATTACTCTTTATTTCATGATAAATAGAATTGAGATGCGTAATGTAGCCATATATTAAGTATTGATACCAATTTAAAAAAAAAAAAAAAAAAAAAAAAAAAATGCTTTTTTTTTTTTTTTCAAAATTGATATCGATACGTGGCAAATGCATATCGATAATTGAATCACGGGAGAAAGTATCGCGATATATCAAAAATCGATATATCGTCACACCCCTAGTATCAACAACTCTCTGGTCTCTCTCTGGTCTCTCTCTGGTCTCTCTCCTCTCTCTCTCTGGTCTCTCTGGTCTCTCTCTCTGGTCTCTCTCTGGTCTCTCTCTCTGGTCTCTCTCTGGTCTCTCTCTGGTCTCTCTCTCTGGTCTTCTCTCTCTCTGGTCTCTCTCTGGTCTCTCTCTGGTCTCTCTCTGGTCTCTCTCTCTGGTCTCTCTCTCTGGTCTCTCTCTCTGGTCTCTCTCTGGTCTCTCTCTGGTCTCTCTCTCTGGTCTCTCTCTCTCTCTTCTCTCTCTAGTAAGTAAGTAAGTAAGTAAGTAAGTAAGCTTTATTTATATACCGCCTTTCACAGACCAGAGTCACAAAGCGGTTTACAATTGTTATTTTTTCTGGTCTCTCTCTCTCTCTGGTCTCTCTCTCTGGTCTCTCTCTCTGGTCTCTCTCTGGTCTCTCTCTCTGGTCTCTCTCTCTGGTCTCTCTCTGGTCTCTCTCTGGTCTCTCTCTCTGGTCTCTCTCTGGTCTCTCTCTGGTCTCTCTCTGGTCTCTCTCTCTGGTCTCTCTCTCTGGTCTCTCTCTCTGGTCTCTCTCTCTCTCTGGTCTCTCTCTCTCTGGTCTCTCTGTCTGTCTGGTCTCTCTCTCTCTCTGGTCTCTCTCTGGTCTCTCTCTGGTCTCTCTCTGGTCTCTCTCTGGTCTCTCTCTCTCCTCTCTCTCTCTGGTCTCTCTCTCTCTCTGGTCTCTCTTGTTCGTTCTTTCACAACATATTTCTAATCAAACGCAGCTTGTTGTGGTTCGTTCACAACATTTTACTTTAACAAAACTCTTTCTGTTTAAACATCTGTTTATTTTTGTTTCCAAGAAATAAATTACTTTCTTTTGTTTTCTGAGTAAAACCAGACTTTTTTGTGCTAAAAGTTAAACCTGCTGCAGACCGAGAAATACAAGACTTTTAATAATTAGTTTTTGCAGTGAATCCACAAAGATGCCTCATGACCTCGTTATTTCTACAGCCTCAGTCCTGGGTCTACAGCCTCAGTCCTGGGTCTACAGCCTCAGTCCTGGGTCTACAGCCTCAGTCCTGGGTCTACAGCCTCAGTCCTGGGTCTACAGCTTCAGTCCTGGGTCTACAGCCTCAGTCCTTGGTCTACAGCCTCAGTCCTGGGTCTACAGCCTCAGTCCTGGGTCTACAGCCTCAGTCCTGGGTCTACAGCCTCAGTCCTGGGTCTACAGCCTCAGTCCTGGGTCTACAGCCTCAGTCCTGGGTCTATAGCCTCAGTCCTGGGTCTACAGCTTCATTCCTGGGTCTACAGCTTCAGTCCTGGGTCTATAGCCTCAGTCCTGGGTCTACAGCCTCAGTCCTGGGTCTACAGCCTCAGTCCTGGGTCTACAGCCTCAGTCCTGGGTCTACAGCCTCAGTCCTGGGTCTACAGCCTCAGTCCTGGGTCTACAGTCTCAGTCCTGGGTCTACAGCTTCAGTCCTGGGTCTATAGCCTCAGTCCTGGGTCTATAGCCTCAGTCCTGGGTCTACAGCCTCAGTCCTGGGTCTACAGCCTCAGTCCTGGGTCTACAGCCTCAGTCCTGGGTCTACAGCCTCAGTCCTGGGTCTACAGCCTCAGTCCTGGGTCTACAGCCTCAGCCCTGGGTCTACAGCTTCAGTCCTGGGTCTACAGCTTCAGTCCTGGGTCTACAGCTTCAGTCCTGGGTCTACAGCCTCAGTCCTGGGTCTACAGCCTCAGTCCTGGGTCTACAGCCTCAGTCCTGGGTCTACAGCCTCAGCCTCTCTCACACAGCAGGGGTGTATCAGTCTGTCACTGAAGCTGCAAGAGCCTCTGTCAATCACACTGCCCGCTACAGCGCGGTGACTGGAATAGGCCATGCATCCCTCCTATCGACCCTGATACTGACGCAGGGACTCCGCCGCCCGCCAGCTAGATCCAATCTGCAGGGCGACACGGCACGGCGGTGGGGTGGGCGCACAGACGCCTGACGAACGAAGCAGCAGAGGGACCGCACTGAAGCAAGCACGACGGCAGGGCCGCATATGCGCCAGCACGAACGCGGGCCGACTGCGACCGAACGCAGCCACGCGGGCACGCCAGAGCCAAGACGACCGCGGGCCAGACACTGAGACACAGCAGCACGAGCCGCGACGCGCCAGCGATCCGCCTCGGCCGACGCAGGGACAGACAGCGCCAGACGAAAGATCGAGGGCAGCAATGCGGACAAGCACCGAAAGCGGGCCGACACTGCGCCAGACGACCCGCGGGCCGCCATGCGACCTCGACGACCAGCGAGGGCCGAATGACGAACCATAAGCACGCAGCCGGCGCGGGACAGCAATGCGCCAGCCCGACCGCAGCCGGGACGACTGCGACGCGCCACGACCAGCGGGGCCGAACTGCTGACCGAATCCGCACCGAGCCGATGGGCAAGAACTGCGCCGAGCGCAGCACGAGCGGGGCCCGCCATGCGCCCGACCGCACACGCGCGGCGCACGACATGCGACGCGCAGCCCGCAGGTCCGCACGACTGCGACAGCCCGCAAGCGCGACAGCCATGAGACACCCCGCCCGACGGGCCGCAGCCTGCGCACCTCGCACCGCGCGGGCGGACCACATGCATGCGACAGCAGCACAGCGCGGGCCGGAATTGGCATGCAGCCGCACGAAGCGCCGCGCGGGCAAGCAGCGACCAGACAGTCACCCCACGACGACGGGACGACGACCTAGCGAACACCGCCGCCAAGCGGGCCGACTTGCGAACACAGCCGAAAGCGGCGCCGTCATGAGCCCGACGCCCGCTGGACCGCACAGCTCAGCACAGACATACCGAACGCGGGCCGCTCTGAGACATGCGCCCGCGGGACGATGGACGCACGCGCCAGCAGACCCTTTGTGCCGCAACGACGAACGCCAGCACCGCGCAGGTGGCCGCCTGGCAGTGAACAGCCGCCGACAAGCCCAGGTCGAAGTGCCGCCTGCGAACACGCACGACACACCCGAGCAGGGACGCACCTGCGACCCGCCGACACCTCGGGCATAGCCCATGCTCCAGGCCGCAAGACTCGAGCGGGTCACGCACCTGCGCCCCCGAGCCGACGCTCAGGCCGCCTGCGCACGCTCAAGCTCACGCCGCCGAGCTCGCGCAGCACGCGGGCAGCACTGCGCGCGCGCCGCAGCACCGCGAGGCTGCCAGCAGCCTCCGCACACGACGATCGGCAGCGAGGCATCCGCCAGCTGCCCGCCGCGAGCGCGGTCACAGCCATGCGCCACGACGCCCGCACATGCGGTGCGCGGCGCCGCGCCGCGGTGGGCGCCAGACGAATGAGGCACGACGGCACAGCGGGCACGCCAGCTGCCGGGCGCCAGCGGGCACTGCCAGCATCAAGCCGTCCCCGCGGGCCGCTCTGCAGCCAGCGCACGCACGCAGGGACGCCATGCGCAATGAGACCAGTCTAAAGTCGGGACGCACGCACTGCTGCAAACACAACGCCCACAGGGGACAGCAAGAGACAGACGCCAGCGAGGGTCACGCACAAGCGACCCGACCGCACGCGGGCCGCTGCGGACCACGACGACACGACGCGGGCCGAAAGCCGCCCCGCCGCCCGCGGGCCGTCCATGACGGCACACGCCGCCACGAGCGGACGCTCATGCGCACCCGCCGCCAGACGGGCCCGCTCCATCGAGCGCACAGGCCGACACAGACGAGGGCCACCCACTGAGCCAAGCATCACGACCCGCCCACCGACACCCCCCGAAGCGCTTTCCCGGAGATTCGAGCAACGCAGCAACGACTCGGGCACAGCACAGCGCCCGCAGCCCACGCGCGGGCCGCCCTGCAGCGCCCGACAGCAAGACGCCAGCGCTGGAAGCAATCCTGCTCACGCACAGACCACGCGCGGGACGCTAACATGCAGCCCGCACGCACACCGCAGCGGGCCCGCACTGCCTGCAGACCGCCGACGCAAGCAGAGGGCAGCATGAAGACCTCAGGCAGCCACGCGAGCGCCTCGCCATGCGCAAGACGCACCGAACGAGCGGCCCGACCTGCTAGCACGCACGCCCGCGGGACACGCACTGCCACGACGACCTCGGGCCAGCAAGCGGCGACCTCCTCCCGCTGGCCTCGCAGTCATAACCTCGCCCGCTGGCCCGCCAGCCCTCCCTCCTCCTCCCTCTCTGTCCTCCATCTCCCTCCTCCCTCTCTGTCCTCCATCTCCCTCCTCCCTCTCTCCTCCATCTCCTCTCCCTCCCTCTGTCCTCCATCTCCCTCCTCCTCCCTCTCTGTCCTCCATCTCCCTCCCTCCCTCTCTGTCCTCCATCTCCCCCTCCCTCCTCCCTCTCCCTCTGTCCTCCATCTCCCTCCTCCCTCTGTCCTCCATCTCCCTCCTCCCTCTGTCCTCCATCTCCCTCCTTCCCCTCTGTCCCCCATCTCCCTCCTCCTCCCTCTCCAAGATTCAAGAATTTATTTGCCATTTGCAGTAAAACCACTTTGGAAAAACTGTGCAATATACCCCAGTGTGCACAGAGAAGAGAGCACACACCATAGCTCTTGCCAACTCTCTCTCTCTCTCTCTCTCTTCCTCCTCCCTCCCTCTCTCTCTTCCTCCTCCCTCTCTCTCCTATCTCTCTCCTCCTCCTCCCTCAGCTTGTGACCCGCGGCTGCCGCAGTTGGACCGCGGGATCCCGCGGGCCGGAGGTCGGAACCGGTCTCGCTCTTCAGGTAAAAGTTCAAACAAATCACTTCAAACAAACAAACAATCATCAACTTCTGCAACTTCAGCCTCAGCACAAACGCGGCCCACGTGACCCGCGTTCAGAGCCCGTCAGCACCGCGCGCGCACATGAGGCTCTGCTGAGGCTCTGCTGAGGCTCTGCTGAGGCTCTGATGAGGCGCAGACCTGGACAATGGCCCCGGGGCGTCACAAGTCGCCGCTTCAGGGTTTACGTTTGGAATGTGATCAGAGAAATGTGTGACGAGTTTAAAGGTGGAGACAGTTACACAACAGCGTCACATCCATGTCATCTTCAAATCACAACCATAGACACACGTCCAGAGCAGAAACACACAAAGATCACACACAGATCACACAAAGATCACACACACAGAGAGCGGAGGTTCAAACGTCTCTGAAATCAGCGCGAAACTTCAACAAACTCCACTTTGGATTCACTTTAACGCGTGAACTCTGCAAGAATCCCGCGGGAACCGGTGCTCCCGGCCCGGGGAGGACTTTACCTGTCCACTGCGGAGCTCCAGGGCCCAGCATCAGCAGCGCGGAGCCGAAAAGGAGCACCCATCCTCGGTTACACCTGCGGAGACATGCAGGGGTTACTCTGGAGCCAAAGTGAGCCAGACTGAGCCAGACTGAGCCAGACTGTGCCAGAGTTCTCACCCCATCCTCACGGAGCAGACACCCGCACTTCTCAGCTGATGAAGCCGACTGAGGAGCCTCTGTGAGTGGGAGAGAGCACAGCGCAGGCCGGGGGGAGAGAGAGGGTCCTCTGGGGGAGAGGAGGGGGACTTCCGCCTCTCAGACCTGGTCTCAGCCCGATCTGATGTGGGGGGGGGGGGATCCAGGAGCAGCGTGGGACGTGAGGGAGAGATCTGAGAGAGAGGGGACAGCGCCACCGTGTGGGAGAAGTGAGGAGGCTCAGTGCAGGAACAACATGTAGAAAGAGTCGAAACTAAAATGCTGTTTCAGCCCAAACCTGTCTCTCTCTGGTCTCTCTCTGGTCTCTCTCTGGTCTCTCTCTGGTCTCTCTCTGGTCTCTCTCTGGTCCCTCTCTGGTCTCTCTCTGGTCTCTCTCTGGTCTCTCTCTGGTCTCTCTCTCTGGTCTCTCTCTGGTCCCTCTCTGGTCCCTCTCTGGTCCCTCTCTGGTCCCTCTCTGGTCTCTCTCTCTCCTCTCTCTCTCTGGTCTCTCTCTGGTCTCTCTCTGGTCTCTCTCTGGTCTCTCTCTCTGGTCTCTCTCTCTGGTCCCTCTCTGGTCTCTCTCTCTGGTCCCTCTCTGGTCCCTCTCTGGTCTCTCTCTGGTCTCTCTCTGGTCTCTCTCTGGTCTCTCTCTCTGGTCTCTCTCTCTGGTCCCTCTCTGGTCTCTCTCTGGTCCCTCTCTGGTCCCTCTCTGGTCTCTCTCTGGTCTCTCTCCTCTCTCTCTCTGGTCTCTCTCTGGTCTCTCTCTGGTCTCTCTCCTCTCTCTCTCTGGTCTCTCTCTGGTCTCTCTCTCTGGTCTCTCTCTGGTCTCTCTCTCTGGTCTCTCTGGTCTCTCTCTAGTCTCTCTCTCTGGTCTCTCTCTGGTCTCTCTCTCTGGTCTCTCTCTAGTCTCTCTCTCGAGTTTCTCTCTAGTCTCTTAAAACTGTATACAATTATAAATGTAATCAGTGAGATCAGTTTAAGTCGTGACCTCCCCCTCCCCAGACACCTCCCCAAAAGAATCGTGTGTGTAGTGTCCACACGTGACCAGCGGAGGGCGCAGCTACACTGTCAGAGACACAAGGTCTGAGCCAGGTCTGAACCAGGTCTGAACCAGGTCTGAGCCAGGTCTGAACCAGGACTGAGCCAGGTCTGAACCAGGTCTGAACCAGGTCTGAACCAGGTCTGAACCAGGTCTGAGCCAGGTCTGAACCAGGTCTGAGCCAGGTCTGAACCAGGTCTGAGCCAGGTCTGAACCAGGACTGAGCCAGGTCTGAACCAGGTCTGAGCCAGGTCTGAGCCAGTACTGAACCAGGTCTGAACCAGGTCTGAACCAGGTCTGAACCAGGTCTGAGCCAGGTCTGAACCAGGTCTGAGCCAGTACTGAACCAGGTCTGCGCCAGGTCTGAACCAGGTCTGAGCCAGGTCTGAACCAGGTCTGAGCCAGTACTGAACCAGGTCTGAACCAGGTCTGAGAATTTGGTTTATAATTCTTTTACAGTCTATCTATGACATCAGTAGATTCTGAAAGATCCTCAGCTCTGTGAGGTCTGAGCGGTGTCTGCAGGGTCAGTGAGGCCATGGACCGGAGAGACCCCAGAGAGACAGACCAGAGAGAGAGAGACCAGAGCGAGACCAGAGAGACCAGAGAGAGAAAAGAGAGACCAGAGAGAGACCAGAGAGAGAGACCAGAGAGAGAAAAGAGAGACCAGAGAGAGAGACCAGAGAGAGAGACCAGAGAGAGAGACCAGAGAGAGAGACCAGAGAGAGAGACCAGAGAGAGACCAGAGAGAGAGACCAGAGAGACCAGAGAGACCAGAGAGACCAGAGAGAGACCAGAGAGAGACCAGAGAGAGACCAGAGAGAGAGACCAGAGAGAGAAGAGAGAGACCAGACCATGGTTGATCAGTGCTGACAAAGAAGTTGTGGAACTTTTCAGTTTGATTGATCTCACTAAGACTGGAGTCAGACTTATGCCACTGTCGTTACTATCGTTACCATAGTTACTATAGTTGATATGGTGTGGTAATATAGCTAGCATATGGTTCCATACGTACCATCGTAGTCACTCAGTCCCTCCTCAGGTTTCTAATAACCTCTGTTTACAGCGTTTAGAGTTTCACACTTTTGTCTCAGGTTTTGGGCCAAAGTTCAGACGAACATTTCTGTGAAAATGATTTATGTTCTTTCAAAAGACAAAAGGGACTTTCAGTGTATCTCTGGTTTACCTCTGGTCTCTCTCTGGTCTCTCTCTGGTCTCTCTCTGGTAGGGCTGAAACAACTAATCGATTAATCGACGACTAATCGATTATTGAAATAGTCGACAACTATTTTAGTAATCGATTAATCGTTTCCTGGTTCACACGGACACAAACAGAGCAAAAATGACATGAAAATGTAGTATTTTTTATTAAAACCGACTTTGTTTTTATAATTTCATGAATATCTGTGTCTCATCCAATCAGAGCAGAATTAGCACAAAGAGCCTGTTACAAACATTTACTTTAAGTTTACGCCTCAATACGTCCTCGAGTGTTGCCACTTTAGCTTTTTGTGATGAAAAAAATATTTTTTTTCTACACAATTCACAGCCAAGCGATTACTCGATTAATCGTAAAAATAATCGATAGATTAATCGATTACAAAATAATCGTTAGTTGCAGCTCTACTCTCTGGTCTCTCTCTGGTCTCTCTGGTCTCTCTCTGGTCTCTCTCTCTGGTCTCTCTGGTCTCTCTCTGGTCTTTCTCTCTGGTCTCTCTCTGGTCTCTCTGTCTGGTCTCTCTCTGGTCTCTCTCTATCTCTGGTCTCTCTCTCTGGTCTCTCTCTGGTCTCTCTGTCTGGTCTCTCTCTCTGGTCTCTCTCTCTCTCTGGTCTCTCTCTCTGGTCTCTCTCTCTCTGGTCTCTCTCTGGTCTCTCTCTCTGGTCTCTCTGGCCTCTCTCTGGTCTCTCTCTGGTCTCTCTCTCTGGTCTCTCTCTGGCCTCTCTCTCTGGTCTCTCTGGTCTCTCTCTGGTCTCTCTCTCTGGTCTCTCTCTGGCCTCTCTCTCTGGTCTCTCTGGTCTCTCTCTCTGGTCTCTCTCTGGCCTCACTCTCTGGTCTCTCTCTCTGGTCTCTCTCTCTGGTCTCTCTCTCTCTCTCTCTGGTCTCTCTGGTCTCTCTCTCTGGTCTCTCTCTCTGGTCTCTCTCTCTCTCTGGTCTCTCTCTCTGGTCTCTCTCTCTCTGGTCTCTCTCTCTGGTCTCTCTCTCTGGTCTCTCTCTCTGGTCTCTCTCTCTGGTCTCTCTCTCTGGTCTCTCTCTTTGATGAGAGGAGGTGTAAAGTGAATGTTCCACAGTCAGACACATGAGCTTCAAACCTCAGCTTCTCTGTGATCCTGCTCTAATCCACTCTCTCTCTCCTCCTCCTGTCTGAACAGGTCTGTGTCACTGAGAAATGTCCTCAAGAGACTCAGAGAGAGACCGGAGAGAGACCAGAGAGAGACCAGAGAGACCAGAGAGAGACCAGAGAGAGACCGGAGAGAGACCAGAGAGAGACCAGAGAGACCAGAGAGAGACCAGAGAGACCAGAGAGAGACCAGAGAGACCAGAGAGAGACCAGAGAGACCAGAGAGAGACCAGAGAGAGACCAGAGAGAGACCAGAGAGAGACCAGAGAGAGACCAGAGAGAGACCAGAGAGAGACCAGAGAGAGACCAGAGAGAGACCAGAGAGACCAGAGAGAGACCAGAGAGAGACCAGAGAGAGACCAGAGAGAGACCAGAGAGACCAGAGAGAGACCAGAGAGAGACCAGAGAGACCAGAGAGACCAGAGAGAGACCAGAGAGAGACCAGAGAGACCAGAGAGTAGACATTGTTGCTGTGTATTTTTTAAATGTTATTTTCACTGATTTAAAACAGTTAAAACTTTGATATTTAGTAGAAACGTTCTGTGGTAAAAACACCTCGTGTTGAAGGAGGAGCTTAGTCCATACGGCTCCATAAAGTTAATGTATAACACTGGAACTGAGGCCGAGACCAGGTCTGGACCAGGACTGAAGCAACTAAAGCAGGTCTAAAGTAGGTCTAAAGCAGGACTAAAGCAGGACTGAAGCAACTAAAGCAGGTCTAAAGTAGGTCTAAAGCAGGTCTAAAGCAGGACTAAAGCAGGTCTAAAGCAGGTCTAAAGCAGGTCTAAAGCAGGACTAAAGCAGGTCTAAAGTAGGTCTAAAGCAGGACTAAAGCAGGACTAAAGTAGGTCTAAAATAGGTCTAAAGTAAGTCTAAAATAAGTCTAGAGCAGGTCTAAAGTAGGTCTAAAGCAGGTCTAAAGTAGGTCTAAAGCTGGTCTAAAGTTGGTCTAAAGCAGGACTAAAGCAGGTCTAAAGCAGGTCTAAAGCAGGTCTAAAGCAGGTCTAAAGTAGGTCTAAAGCTGGTCTAAAGTAGGTCTAAAGCTGGTCTAAAGTAGGTCTGAACCAGTACTAAAGCAGGACAACAGAAAAGAGAAACAAGATACTTTGTCTTCCTCTTATAAGAAAACAGTTTGTCCTCATTTGAAAGAACCCTGCGAGTCACTATCTGCTTCTTTGGGCTGAGAGCTGAATGGCAGAGTCAGAGCGGTCCTTTCTCTGCTCTAAAGATGTGACATCACAAATACATGATGTGAAAACTAGTGATAGAAGCAACTGTTTTAGAGCCAGAACAGCTTTAAAGTTACAGACCTCAGCTTTAAAGTTACAGACCCCAGATTTAAAAGTTACAGACCCCAGATTTAAAAGTTACAGACCCCAGATTTAAAAGTTACAGACCCCAGCTTTAAAAGTTATAGACCTCAGCTTTAAAGTTACAGACCCCAGCTTTAATGTCACAGACCCCAGCTTTAAGTCAGGGCCTGTGGTTTCCCAGCGCTGCACATCTCACTTTAACCATCTCTTTGTCTCAGATAAAGCAGCGATCGCCTCAAAGAGAAGAAGACTTTATGGTCAAACACAAAAGAACGAGCTGCAAATCACACAGAGGGTAATAAAAGAGGAAGACGAGGGTGAGGCTGGAGCTGAGGAAGACAGACAGAGGAGAGGGAGGAGGGAGAGAGGGGAGGGAGAGGGGAGAGAGGAGGGAGAGAGGGGAGGGAGAGGGGAGAGAGGAGGGAGAGGGGGAGAGGAGAGAGAGAGAGGAGGGAGGGAGGGGGAGAGGAGAGGGTGAGGCTGGAGCTGAGGAAGACAGACAGAGGAGAGGGAGGAGGGAGAGAGGGGAGGGAGAGGGGAGAGAGGAGGAGGGAGAGAGGGGAGGGAGAGGAGAGAGAGGAGGGAGAGGGGGAGAGGAGAGGGTGAGGCTGGAGCTGAGGAAGACAGACAGAGGAGAGGGAGGAGGAGGGAGAGAGGGGAGGGAGAGGGGAGAGAGGAGGGAGAGAGGGGAGGGAGAGGAGGGAGAGGAGAGGGAGAGGAGAGGGAGAGGAGGGAGAGGAGAGGAGAGGGAGAGGAGAGGGAGAGGAGAGGGAGAGGAGAGGGAGAGGAGGGAGAGGAGAGGAGGGATGGAGAAGAGAGGATTAGGAGAGTTCAGTCTCCTAATTGAATTATATTTTAGATATGTCTCATTATGACAGCTCTCCTCCTCACACTGAGACATGGGCTGATGTGTCAGAACGACTGGGCCTCCAACCCGCCTTGCGGCTTGTGTTGATGTAGCCTCCGTGAACAGGTGGGAGGGGCTAACTCCTTTTGCAGATTGAAACGATTGGATAGGGTTAGAGCAGCCATTCCCAAACTCAGTAACACCGAGGCCCCCTTAAAAATCTGACGGGTCTGCGTGGCCCCCCAAAATAATAACCAAGAAGACAACATTAAGAATAGGCTCTTCTGGTTATTTTATTTTGGGGAAATCGCCTCTGCTACAAACATTGTAACACAAAAATGATTACAGTGGATTATTCAAGTCAAATAATGAACACAAATATTTTAATATTACAAACAAAACATTATAAATTTAACATTAAATAATTATATATATATATATATATATATATATATATATATATATTTTTTTTTTTTTATGACCTCCCGCGGCCCCCCTGCAGTACCCTCCGCGGCCCCCTGGTGGGCCGCGGACCCCACTTTGGGAGACACTGGGTTAGAGTTTACCGTGACGTATGTAATGAGCCCGAGTGAGTTGTTAGCATTTAGCATTTAGCCTAGCTTTAGCCATCTCCTTTGCCGCTAACGGAGCCCGTGGGGAGCAGCGCCACAATCTTTAACAGAGATTACATTTGCTAAACATTCTTCTTGCTTTGGCTTCAGTTTCTTGATAGAACCAGAGCAGAATACTTTACTATCACATTCTTCTCCAAACTACAACCTTCCTGTTCGACGCAAACTCTGACGTCACCCACATCTAACTACAACACCCGCCTCCGTGCTCTCTGATTGGTCGGTTGAAATACAACCGATTGTAATCTCTAACACAGGGACCAGACCCAGACCCAGACCCAGACCCAGACCCAGACCCAGACCCAGACGTTACCTGCAGGACATGATGATTGAGCGAAGGGTACGGATGGATAAGACCAGGCTACTGTTGATGTGGTTTAGGGTATTAATCAAACACACACACACAAGCACAGGGGAGACTGTAGACCCAGGACTGAGGTTGTAGACCCAGGACTGAGGCTGTAGACCCAGGACTGAGGCTGTAGATCCAGGACTGAGGCTGTAGATCCAGGACTGAGGCTGTAGACCCAGGACTGAGGTCGCAGATCCAGGACTGAGGCTGTAGACCCAGGACTGAGGCTGTAGACCCAGGACTGAGGCTGTAGACCCAGGACTGAGGCTGTAGACCCAGGACTGAGGCTGTAGACCCAGGACTGAGGCTGTAGATCCAGGACTGAGGCTGTAGACCCAGGACTGAGGTTGTAGACCCAGGACTGAGGCTGTAGACCCAGGACTGAGGTCGCAGATCCAGGACTGAGGCTGTAGACCCAGGACTGAGGCTGTAGACCCAGGACTGAGGCTGTAGACCCAGGACTGAGGCTGTAGACCCAGGACTGAGGTTGTAGACCCAGGACTGAGGCTGTAGACCCAGGACTGAGGCTGTAGATCCAGGACTGAGGCTGTAGATCCAGGACTGAGGCTGTAGACCCAGGACTGAGGTCGCAGATCCAGGACTGAGGCTGTAGACCCAGGACTGAGGCTGTAGACCCAGGACTGAGGCTGTAGACCCAGGACTGAGGCTGTAGACCCAGGACTGAGGCTGTAGACCCAGGACTGAGGCTGTAGATCCAGGACTGAGGCTGTAGACCCAGGACTGAGGTTGTAGACCCAGGACTGAGGCTGTAGACCCAGGACTGAGGTCGCAGATCCAGGACTGAGGCTGTAGACCCAGGACTGAGGCTGTAGACCCAGGACTGAGGCTGTAGACCCAGGACTGAGGCTGTAGACCCAGGACTGAGGCTGTAGACCCAGGACTGAGGCTGTAGATCCAGGACTGAGGCTGTAGACCCAGGACTGAGGTTGTAGACCCAGGACTGAGGCTGTAGACCCAGGACTGAGGTCGCAGATCCAGGACTGAGGCTGTAGACCCAGGACTGAGGCTGTAGACCCAGGACTGAGGCTGTAGACCCAGGACTGAGGCTGTAGACCCAGGACTGAGGCTGTAGACCCAGGACTGAGGCTGTAGATCCAGGACTGAGACTGTAGATCCAGGACTGAGGCTGTAGACCCAGGACTGAGGCTGTAGACCCAGGACTGAGGCTGTAGACCCAGGACTGAGGCTGTAGACCCAGGACTGAGGCTGTAGACCCAGGACTGAGGCCGCAGATCCAGGACTGAGGCTGTAGACCCAGGACTGAGGCCGCAGATCCAGGACTGAGGCCGCAGATCCAGGACTGAGGCCGCAGATCCAGGACTGAGGCCGCAGATCCAGGACTGAGGCCGCAGATCCAGGACTGAGGCCGCAGATCCATGACTGAGGCCGCAGATCCAGGACTAAGGCCGCAGATCCAGGACTGAGGCCGCAGATCCAGGACTGAGGCCGCAGATCCAGGACTGAGGCCGCAGATCCAGGACTGAGGCCGCAGATCCAGGACTGAGGCCGCAGATCCAGGACTATCTCAGTGAAACCAGCTCCTGTTTGTGACTGCTGTCTGCAAAACTCCATTGAATTGACTAAAACTATTCTGCTGCTTAATTTACAACATTCAACATTTGGAACTTGGTTGCTATGCCGGTTGCTATGCCGGTTGCTATGCCGGTTGCTATGCCGGTTGCTATGCCGGTTGCTATGCCGGTTGCTGATCACCTTATTTGTTTAGTCGTGTGTTTAAATCCACACAGCTTTGCTTTTAACCTGAGCACACGTCCACAGCCCTCTTTCAGCTGCTGTTATCAGTTGGCCCTTTGACAAAGAGAGAGTCCCAAAGAGGAGGAGTCCAGGGCCAGTCCTGACCCGCCTCTGTGCATAACCCTCCTCCTCCCCCTCCTCCCACCTCCCCCTCCCCGAGTGCATGAATGAGGCACTCCTCCACACTGTCCTCCCTGCTGCTGCTGCAGACACAAGTGCAGATAACACATGGCTGAATGAAACCTGCAAACATGAGAACTTCTGTGGCTTTGCTCTTTGCTCTGGGCTTTTTGGGCGAGTCCTCGGCCTGGTTCTGGCCCAAGAGTGACACTACGACCGTGGCCCCCAGTACCCCGGAGCCTCCGGAGGGATCTGGAAGTCTGGTGGGAGCCGGAGGAAGTGGAGAGCAACCGGAAAACGCGAGGAAAGCGGAAGAAGCCGGTGACGATTTGAGCCAAAATGGCGGACGAAATTGGGCCACGATGGAGACGCCGCAATTGAGGACGCCGCTGCCGCCGGACGAGGAGAGAGTGACTCCGGGTGCTCCGTCACAACAAGACTCGGGTAAAGAAAACGATTTGGGAAATTTTAAAATAGAGAGTTTTACGTATGATGCGAAAATGGCGGAAGATTTGACTGTGGGGTCCGGGTTTTCCAGCGGAGAAGGTGGAAGTGGATCTGGGTTTACGACCAACGGAAGTCCAACGTTAAAGTTGGAAAATAAAGATACAACAATGAACGATTTTGATTCGGAAACAGTAGAAAACGCAACTTCACGAAGCAAAATTGAGAATGAATCAATTGACGATCGTTCTACACACAGTGAACTAGCAATTAGCAATGTTAGCGCTTTTGATAGCATTGAAATGACTACAGAAAACATGCTTGTCGCCACCAGCAAAGATGCGGCTAAGAATAGACAAGATAGCTTAGCCGCTGATAGCTTAGCCGCTGATAGCTTAGCCGCTGATAGCCAACGTAGCCTAGTTGCAGATAACAAAAGTACAACCGGCAGAATAAATGATCAGGTTCCTTCACCAAACAATGATTTAGCCATGGAAACTTCTACACAGTTAGCTGAAAAGACGGATGAGCTAACGGGTAAAACTAGACAAGAAAATGCAATGCTTTCAACCAGCGATAGCACAGTTTTAGCTAGCCAAACTAGCCACGCATTTGTTAGTGATATTTTACTGGGAAATACAGATTTAATCCACAAAGAAAGCAAAAAACATGAAATTATTGAAGCTAGCGTAAAGGTGGCCGCTAGTAGTTATTCCGCACAAAACCAAGTAGCACTTAGCAACACGGACAAGTTTGAGATGACGACGCAAAGTTCTAATTTAGAGCCAAGTTTAGCCGATGAGTTCAACTCCGATGTTGGAAGCACAGAGTTTTCAGAACAGACTGATGTGAGAATAGAGGAAAGTGTTTTAGAAATGACCGATACTTCGACTAAACATGTGTTAGCAAGTGAAACAACGACGAGAGGTTTGAAAGAGAGAGAAAACTATGAGCAAGAACTAGTTACGCAGAGGCCAACGCCTAGCGACGACAAAACTGACGCTATTAGCATTGACGGTAAAGCTAACAATATTCAAACTCTGGAGAACGGTAAACTTAAGCCATCCACAAATATCGAGAAGTTTCATTTTCAAGATCATAAAGTAACAAATAAATCCACATTTTTGGAAAATGGTGAAACTAGAATTCAGGAAATACTCACAGAAGAGAACCACAAACCTAGCGAACAAGAACAAGCAAACCAAAGCACTTTGGGAATCGACAACGTTAGCAAACCAGTTCAAGATACGCCAACTCTAGAACACGGTGAAATGGCCGATGGTGAACTAGCTACAACAACTCAACCCACTAAGGCCGATCAAGCTAACGCCAACAAAGAGCAAGCCAACCAAACTAGGGTTCTAGAAAAGTCAAAAAATCAAATTCATGAACTCTTTACGCCGACACAAACTCTAGAAAAGTTTAAAACTAGTAATCAGGGACTAGCTCAGCAGTCTAACGTCCAGGAAGTCTCTGACAAATCTCAATCTCTTGAAAACTACAGTATTAGAGATCAGAAAGTAGCAAAACAATTTACAACCCATGAGATCAACCAAGCTAATGCTAATAAAGAGCGCAACAATGGCAGTGGTGATCGAGTTGCTTTCTCTCAAACTCTAGAAAACAGTCAAATCAGCGACCAGGAACTAACTAAACCATCTCGAACTCAAGGAAACTACAAAAATACCAACAGAGAGCTAGCCACGCCTTCTCCGACTTTAGAAGACCATAAAACTAGCGATCAGGAACCAGCTAACCCTCCTCCAACTATCAGCGATGACATTAGCGACCAGGAAGGGACCGCTCAGCCTCAGTGCATTCTAGTGACCACAGCTTTACCGTTTTGCTCGCACCTTTCTGGTAAAACCGTCGCTTTTCCGAACGTTCTGAACCAAACGCGAGTGGAGGAGGCGGTGAGGACGCTCCGTGAGTGGGCGTGGCTCCTGCAGAAGAAATGCCACCACAGCCTGGAGTGGTTCTTCTGCCTCCTGTTGGTGCCCGAGTGTAATGGCGAGCTAGCGGTGCCGTGCCGTAGCTTCTGCGCGGTGTTGCAGGACAGCTGCTGGGAGGTCCTGGACCAGGGGAGTCTGCCGCTGGACTGCCAGGCTCTACCAGAGGAGCAGTGTCTGTCCGTTAGTAACCAGAAAGGTAAAAGACGACAAAATGAACCCAGATGGTTCATTTTGGAGTTTGAAGAGTTTGAACCCGAGATCCCTCTAACGTCACTGACCTGGAGTGGAATGGAAGATCACAGCACACTTAGAATACAATACTCAGCATCTGTGGAAGATCTGTACCTTTAAATCTGACCTTGAGACCAGAGAGAGACCAGAGAGAGACCAGAGAGAGACCAGAGAGAGACCAGAGAGAGACCAGAGAGAGAGACCAGAGAGACCAGAGAGAGAGACCAGAGAGAGACCAGAGAGAGACCAGAGAGAGACCAGAGAGAGACCAGAGAGACCAGAGAGACCAGAGAGACCAGAGAGAGAGACTAGAGAGAGACCAGAGAGAGACCAGAGAGAGACCAGAGAGACCAGAGACTAGAGAGAGACCAGAGAGAGACCAGAGAGAGACCAGAGAGAGAGACCAGAGAGAGACCAGAGAGAGACCAGAGAGAGACCAGAGAGACCAGAGAGAGAGACTAGAGAGAGACCAGAGAGACCAGAGAGAGAGACTAGAGAGAGACCAGAGAGAGACCACAGAGAGACCAGAGAGAGACCAGAGAGAGAGACTAGAGAGAGACAAGAGAGAGACCAGAGTGAGACCAGAGTGAGACCAGAGTGAGACCAGAGAGAGACCAGAGAGAGACCAGAGAGACCAGAGAGACCAGAGAGAGACCAGAGAGAGAGACTAGAGAGAGACAAGAGAGAGAGACCAGGGACATCGTGCTATTACAGGACTGAGTCAGGTGATTTTAGACGGAGGGGGCGGAGCTACATGTTTGTGCCAAGTTCCTGATTTTAAGCGTGGATGGAGCTAAACACATCTGCAGGTTACGTACCCCGGCTTTAAAGTTACGTACCTCGGCTTTAAAGTTACATACCTCGGCTTTAAAGTCACGTACCCCAGCTTTAAAGTTACATACCTCAGCTTTAAAGTTACGTACCTCGGCTTTAAAGTTACGTACCCCAGCTTTAGAGCCAGACTCGTGGAGGAATTCCCACGACAGCTCTGTGCTTGTTTGTGTCGCCGCGGGCAACAGAATAGAAAGTGTGTGTATGAGTGGCTGCTTTCCCCAGGGCGGCTGCGGCTGATCGTCATACATGTACAGACTGATCCAGACGAAGCTCCATCCACGGGGAGACAAGCAGACACATCCCCCCGCCCCTTCTGTCCCGATGTCCTGTGGTCAAACTAGTATAAACGAAAGTAAGATTTATGAACATAGAGAGAGGCCATAGAGAGAGACCAGAGAGACATCAGCGAAAGACCAGAGAGAGACCAGAGAGAGACTGGAGAGAGACCAGAGAGAGATCAGAGAGAGACTGGAGAGAGACCAGAGAGAGACCAGAGAGAGACCGGAGAGAGAGACCTGCGAAAGACCAGAGAGAGACCAGAGAGAGACCAGAGAGAGACCAGAGAGAGACCAGAGAGAGACCAGAGAGAGACCCTTCTCCACTCTTTTCTCAAGATCATGTTTAAGGTGCTGCAAGAACATGGATAAAGCTGAGTGCTGTGTTTTAAGTATCTCCGACTGACAGCATGAAGCCCGAACCCTGTGTGTGCGGAACATCGACCTGCGATGATTTTTGTGTGATTTCAATTCCATGTATTTGTGTGTCGCCCTAAACCCGCAGAGGACAGAGCTGTTACCATGAGTTGCCCAGCAGTGCGCCCTCTGCTGGACAACTCTGGTAACAGCTCTGTCCACCTGCAGCGTCACTCACAGTCTGTGTTGTTAGACCCATGGTTGTGTTTCTAAGGTTCTAGTTTTGAGCCTGACCTTGAACATAGTGTGTACTTCCTGGACGTGGATGAGGAGCTGGTTCCACTGTCGGAGCTTGGACCTCGATGCTCTGCCTCCGACTGCACTTTTTGACTCTTTAGGACCCAGCAGACGTCTGGCGTTTGGCGAGTTTGGTGGGCAGGAGAGAGCCATGCTATTTATAGGAAGGATCTAAGTCCTGTAGTCCACAGTAGTCAGTGGAGTCATTTTAACACTGGAGTGATGTGTTCTCTCAGACCAGAGAGACCAGAGAGAGACCAGAAAGAGACCAGAGAGAGACCAGAGAGAGACCAGAGAGAGACCAGAGAGACCAGAGAGAGACCAGAGAGAGACCAGAGAGAGACCAGAGAGACCAGAGAGAGACCAGAAAGAGACCAGAGAGAGACCAAAGAGAGACCAGAGAGAGACCAGAGAGAGACCCGAGAGAGATCAGAGAGAGACCAGAGAGAGACCAGAGAGAGATCAGAGAGAGACCAGAGAGAGAGACCAGAGAGAGACCAGAGAGAGACCAGAGAGACCAGAGAGAGACCAGAAAGAGACCCGAGAGAGATCAGAGAGAGACCAGAGAGACCAGAGAGACCAGAGAGAGACCAGATAGAGACCAGAGAGAGACCAGAGAGAGACCAGAGAGAGACCCGAGAGAGAGAGAGAGACCAGAGAGAGAGAGAGACCAGAGAGAGACCAGAGAGAGACCAGAGAGACTAGAGAGAGACCAGAGAGAGACCAGAGAGAGACCAGAGAGAGACCCGAGAGAGATCAGAGAGAGACCAGAGAGACCAGAGAGAGACCAGAGAGAGACCAGAGAGAGACCAGAGAGAGACCAGAGAGAGACCAGAGAGAGACCAGAGAGACACCAGAGAGAGACCAGAGAGAGACCAGAGAGAGACCAGAGAGAGACCAGAGAGAGACCACAGAGAGAGACCACAGAGAGAGACCACAGAGAGAGACCACAGAGAGAGACCAGAGAGAGACCAGAGAGAGACCAGAGAGAGACCACAGAGAGAGACCACAGAGAGAGACCAGAGAGAGACCAGAGAGAGACCAGAGAGAGACCAGAGAGAGACCAGAGAGAGACCACAGAGAGAGACCAGAGAGAGAGACCAGAGAGAGACCAGAGAGAGACCATAGAGAGAGCCCAAAGAGAGAGACCAGAGAGAGACCATAGAGAGAGCCCAAAGAGAGAGACCAGAGAGAGCAACCAGAGTGTGTCTAGTTTGTGATATGTTCCTTGAAAGTGAAGTAGCTGCAGATGTTGTATTTGAATAAGGAAATAGAGAAGTGCTCATGGTGAAGTTTGTACACATGAAAAGGCCAAGAACTGAACCAAACCAGACCAGACCAGACCAGATCGGAGCAGGGCCTTTAGATAAATGCAGGGTCCGTGGTCCTACAGTAGTTCTGTGTTTCGCTGACTCACTTTCATATCTGTCTGACCTCATTCTTTCCTCATAAAGTGGTAAAGTCTCACTGAGTCTTTCCGCTGCTGATCTCTGTAAACACTGGGACCGATCCTCGCTGTCGGGACATGTCTGCAGGGGACCATGGGGGGCCTGGACCATGTGCACGTCAGCATACTCTGGGTCCCACTGTGTGCAGCTGGACCATGCTAACACGCTAGTTCAATGAAGCTCCATGGGGAAGTGGTCATGGTGAAGTTTGGCTCCAGACAGAGACCAGAGAGAGACCAGACAGAGACCAGAGAGAGACCAGAGAGATACCATAGAGAGACAAGGGGGAGAGACCAGAGAGGGACCATAGAGAGACTAGAGAGAGACCAGAGAGAGACCAGAGAGAGACCAGAGAGAGACCAGAGAGAGACTAGAGAGAGACTAGAGAGAGACCAGAGAGAGACCAGAGAGAGACTAGAGAGAGACTAGAGAGAGACCAGAGAGAGACCAGAGAGAGACTAGAGAGAGACCAGAGAGAGACCAGAGAGAGACCAGAGAGAGATCAGAGAGAGACTAGAGAGAGACTAGAGAGAGACCAGAGAGAGACCAGAGAGAGACTAGAGAGAGACCAGAGAGAGACCAGAGAGAGACCAGAGAGAGATCAGAGAGAGACAAATCCGTGGTCCTGGTGCTTATATGTGATATGACCATATAAGCATGGACCAATCAGAGGCCTTCGTTCAGGGGTCTCTGCGGTCTGCTCCAATCAGCTGCTGCGATGTTCCACACGTGCTATATCAATAAATCCACTTCCTTCTTCACTCACAAGGAGACTGGAAACGTGCAGTTAGTGTTTGACTCAAAGCTGAGGTCATGTAAAAGTTAAGTATTATGAACAAATCACAGAAAACATGTGACTCTCAGGCTGAGAGCTGATTGGCCGAGAGAGGGGGGTCCTCTCTTTCTCACTTTTCAATCTGAAAAAAACGTATTTAAAAATCTTACAGAGACCAGAGACACAGCATGTGAAAACTAGACCAAAACCAGCACTGAGACCAGGACCGAGACCAGGACTGAGATTAGCACTGAGACCAGGGCCGAGACCAGGACTGAGATTAGCACTGAGACCAGGACCGAGACCAGGACTGAGATTAGCACTGAGACCAGGACCGAGGCCAGGACCGAGACCAGGACTGAGATTAGCACTGAGACCAGGGCCGAGACCAGGACTGAGATTAGCACTGAGACCAGGACCGAGACCAGGACTGAGATTAGCACTGAGACCAGGACCGAGGCCAGGACCGAGACCAGGACTGAGATTAGCACTGAGACCAGGACCGAGACCAGGACTGAGATTAGCACTGAGACCAGGGCCGAGACCAGGACTGAGATTAGCACTGAGACCAGGACCGAGGCCAGGACCGAGACCAGACTGAGATTAGCACTGAGACCAGGACCGAGACCAGGACTGAGATTAGCACTGAGACCAGGGCCGAGACCAGGACTGAGATTAGCACTGAGACCAGGACCGAGACCAGGACTGAGATTAGCACTGAGACCAGGACCGAGGCCAGGACCGAGACCAGGACTGAGATTAGCACTGAGACCAGGACCGAGACCAGGACTGAGATTAGCACTGAGACCAGGGCCGAGACCAGGACTGAGATTAGCACTGAGACCAGGACCGAGACCAGGACTGAGATTAGCACTGAGACCAGGACCGAGGCCAGGACCGAGACCAGGACTGAGATTAGCACTGAGACCAGGACCGAGACCAGGACTGAGATTAGCACTGAGACCAGGGCCGAGACCAG